GACCTTGAAGAAAATGTGGTCTTCTCTGTAGAACTTCTCCGAGCCCATATAGAACGCTTCGACTTCTTCTTCACCATAGTTTGACACTGGCGCGTAAACGACGAAGATTGTCAAAGCCGGAATTTATCCACATCTTTTTAATCGTAAGCGTCTGATTCGGATTATAAGTTGTTCGAATGAAACGATGTTCATGTACAAACTCGTGTTGACGAGAATACCGACGTCGCCGACTCCTCTACTGTCGCATATTCCGAGGAACAGTTTTCCTCCGCTGTTATAAACGGCGTTGAATGGATGGTGTTGTTTCGTCTCGGCTAGTCCGATGACGCAAAGGTCGCTTTTGGTCCGCGATTAACCCCTATCCGACACCTGGGGACGCTCCACGTAGCCTCGTGACTAGCCGGCCTGAGATCCGTCATATGAGGGAGATCCGTGGTTACAAATCATACCACTATTTTACTATTATTATTAATGCTGTTAATTGTTTAGGCAAATACAGTAGCCGGTGAACAGCCGATGACGACAGTTACGAAAGTAGCCGACCAGCAAGCCACCGCAGTAGCGCCTGTAGGATGGCCGGCAGAAGCGCCGGCAGTAGAAGGACTCGAAGTGGGAGCAACTCCTACACAAAAGAAAACTCCATGTGGAAAGTCTGTTGCTAAGGATGTCAATGCAGGAGTACCTCAAGGAGGACTTCAACAAGAGCGACAAGCTGGGCAAGTGGCAGCTGCCGGCATGAAAGCGGTACGTCTTCACTTATGGCCTATTTTGAATCATATGCTCCTTATGAATGTAGAAACTATAGTTTAGTTCTATTCATGATATGAGTTACCGCAAAGGAGATACTCCCACTTTTTGGTTGTTATAAAGCCCCGTTTTCAAGACGTTATCAGGCTAATCAGGAATGTTTTAATCATAGGTCAAGACCGCTGCTGAGCATATATGTCACCTGTCCTCCCATTGATAATCAAGCGATTCTAGCGGGGTCCATTAGGATTCCACACATCAATTTCAAACCATGCCTTCAAACACACTAAAATTTGGTGGTAGGAAAAAGCGTTGTAATCCAAAATTCTTTGTCAATGAAAGTGATGCTTTTTCATCACTCGATTACGGAGACACATATTTTCTGCTCTTCCGTTCATCAAAATGACTCAAGAAAACTTCACTAAAGTCTCCATTTGTCACTGTCGCGTGAAAGAGTATCACAGTGAGTTCTGTTCACTGCGGGGACTTGCTACGTACCGCATTGCTTCCTAGAATCTTTGTGAAAAATTCTGACCATTACGTTGGTGGTATGCTTGGTGTGTGCTTGACAATGACATTCCTTTGAACATGCTCACTAGTGGCTCTTGTCTACCGGTTACCATTAAGAATATCACGTAATCTTCATATGCCCTTCTCAAGTGCATATTCGATAGCGCTGAACGGCTTTTCAGCCTGTTTATGTGCTCTCCAAGTTCTCAATCAGTACTTCAAGTCAAGAAGCATCGGACACCGGAAAAGGAACGCACGGAGTAAAGTGTTGTTTCCCCCCTCATTGCATTCTCGATGCCTTTGTAAGCCCCCCAAGGTACCATTTTCTATTCAGTTCTGGGAATAAGTTATTCATAATGTTGAGTTCTCGAAGTGGATACATGTAAGCGCAACATGCTGAGATACTCGCCTATTGAACGTGAATCGGACCTCAGGAACAAATCCCTCTCTAATAAACACTATTTGTTTTTTACTGCTTATTCGTTCTTTCACAGCAGGATAGTATGTGAAATAGAACCACAGGATGCTGAAATATGAGTAAAACTGAACAAAATACACTAACCGAGGCACCTACTTCGCTTTCTCTCAGGCATTTCTTGCTCTATCTGCACTATCAACAATCACCCGTCATTGGGAATGATCTATAGAGCAAAATCGACATTGGACCGAGTTAAGCTGAAGCTGCAGTCCAAATCACAATCTCTTGACTTTGATTTACTGTATATGTTCACTGCCACGTGAGACACGGTAAGGGGAATCACGGGATCGAAGCCTAGCAGAGGCTCGGAGTTTTGCTCATAGCTCAGCATCCTTGTTGTCGTGTTTCTAGTAAAAAATATTCCTTTTTCATTTACTGCCTATTCTTTTTAACGGCAGAGTATGTTGCGAAGTATAACTTCTATAATGCTGAGATATTTGCAAAACTCCGGGCCGCAGGTGTCTGCGATGGGGACTGAATCCGCTATTCGCCTTTCCGGGAAGTAACGCGTTAACCACCACTCCATGCGGGTCCTTCGTTTCGCCTGTCTCCCAGCTAGTTCTGTTCTATATTCCGTTTAGATTTACTTGAAGAGAAATCTTCTTGCAAACGTTTTCGAAATTGCCAAGCCCTCGGTCCACCTAACTAACGCTCGATGTTTTAATAGCGATGTTATATCATGGTAAAGATATTGTAGCCACTGTCGTAGGCCTTCCTTGTTGTGCAAAAATTTAAGCTAGCCACTGAATAGGAAGCTTGCATTTCCGCAGGTGACGTATGACCTTGCTGACAGACCGTAAGCTCTTCCTATGTTCAGTTCTAACATGCTCTGGACCAGGTATCGTACAGTTCCATCATCTTAGTTTTTTAATTGGCAAACCTTTGGTGGGCGTTGCAAATGTTCTTTCTAACCTCTTAGGCTTCATCATTACCTATGCTGCTCTCTTTTTAAAACCTTATTCTCCTACCTTTCCGCAAAGTTTTGAAAGCTTGGATATGAGATGGCAGTTATTCAGAGCTTCTATTCAAGCCTATTAATGAATAAATCTCAATTTATGGCAATTTTGTGGTTTCGTCTTCAAAATTTTGCGGCTTTAACTACTCTTAGCGGAAGGATAATCCACGCGGACGGTTTTTTAGTTAAGCAGAACAAAAAAGTTCAACTATATTGGCATAAGGACCCGTGCTAATTTCCGGACAGCCTAGTACTTGAAAGCAAATGGCAGATCCTTACATAATGTCCTCCATTTGAGGAATTTAGTATAAAAACAACATTCCAGGTAGGGAACTGGGTTCAACGAGCTTTGAATATGGGTGTGGATGCACTGCGGCAAGAATACCGTAGTCTAGCTCGGTATACATTGCCGGAAATGACCGTCGAAGCGTTCAAGGCAAATCATGAGATGGGAAGAAATAGGTATATAAGTGCATATTTCTTAACCTCTGCTACTGTACTTGACATAGACCGGCGAAGAAATGTCTAGAATTAGTATGCTAATGCAAACTGTACGGTCGCCATTTCCATTTTCGCATGAATGATTTAGTGAAGTTGAAGCATACGAAGGCTAGAAACGATAGCTGTCCGATGACAGGATGTATGGGGACTTGTTGTAGATACCAAGACGTGCCGTGTCAGGATCAGAATCGTGTTGTACTGAAATGGCATTGCGCTGTGACAGATTACATCCATGCTAATTACGTTGCCACGCCGGTATCAGAAAAGCGCTTCATTCTAACGCAGGTAAGACCAACGACCGAGAAATGTGGGACATATGAAGGCTAGCAGGGAATTGATCACAACTCCAATCTTCACTCAAATTTAAGCCTTCCATAAAGGTAGATCGATTTCAAAGTTCCGAATAATTGAACCATACACACGTATATCTCATAAATAGTCGATAAAAAATTGCACCCTAAAAAACCACTAAAAATCGATAGGGTTGGTTTATCAGGGACCGTTAGATGGTACCGTGAACGAATTCTGGCAGATGGTACTACAAGAAGAAGCTGAAACAATCATCATGCTTTGTAACTGTATTGAAACGGTTTGTTCACCTTCACTACTTTACGGAACTGGTCTCAGTTTTTTAAATAAGCAAAAACGAGAAATTTCAATAGTATAGAAGTTCAGAATACTAGGGTGGATGGCACACAACTCTATACAACTGTTAGAAATCAACATTTCAATCAACAGAAAGTAGGATACCTTCAGGGAAAAAACAAGTGCTCACCGTACTGGCCAGATAAAATTGGTGAAACAAAGCAGTTCAATGGTGGTGAAATCACCAACGTTGAGGTAACGATGAACAAGTTATAGCCTAGTAAACTCAAGTTTTGTTAACATTTAACGTTCGACAGGGTCGCGTGCAGCGCGGCAGTTCGAGGCGCCCTGCAATAAACACAGGATCAATCATCGCTGAGCCACCAAGCCTTCCATCACTCCGGGGGCAAATTGTTACCAGACTTGTATGGGAGCATAGCAACACTGGCTCGATACATCGGTAGGGCACCGCGACTCATTGTAAAGACCAGATATGCATTCAATCACGTCCAAATGATGCTTAGTGAAGTCGAATGCATGGCGCATCCCTCAGGGATTGATCAACACCGAGAGCTTCATCCTTTATGCTTTATAACGTTCGACGCACGAATTTGTACTGCGGCGTAGTACGACGCCTAATTTCATGCCGGCTACAGACCTGGTGACTTTTCAGCAATAGACGACAATTCTTCGATAACTAGAGTACTAAGGGTGTAGTAACTACTAAGTGACAAGTGTTAAGAGCGTTATGACATTATGGAAGGGTTTTGGAACTCTATCGCTTAAGCGTTTTTCATAGTATATTATATGCTACTATCCACTGCATATTACTACGGTCCATCATACAACCACTTTGTTGCCAGTATTTGGAAGCGTTCTGCATCTGATTTCGAGTCTATTTGTGCACTTTTCATACCCGTTCATCCTTGATAAATATGATCCATCGTAGCGATAAGAATTTACATTAGGATGAAATACTAGTCAAATTACCGACCTACGAACTCATCCGAAGAAAAGATCTCTGTAAATATTTAGGCTCCTTTTAACGGTCTGCGGCCTTCTTGTCGCTCGGAGGCGTTCCTGGGTATCGGGCTGCCATGTACAGCGGGGTGACCCATCCTCTTAGCAGGTCTCCCAAGCTAAGAAAGAGTCCGGTGTTTTCATTAGGAAGCCTAACTAGGAGTAAACCATTACCAGAATCCACCGTCCTGGTATCAAACTAGTCGCATGGTGGCAAATCTCCCTCTGATCCACAAGGGCAACGACGGCCTATGGTGGCGACGACCTGGGGCAGACTTTGGCTAGGCTGACCTCGGGACTCCAGAGAACCACAATAGCTAAACCAGCAAAACTCCGAAAAATGGAGATTATGCTGGGGTCCGCACAACCAGTGAGGACGAGCCATCCAAGTATCCAAGGAAATGTTTAGGCTTATCTGCTTCAGATTTTCGTAAAGAATCCTGACATAGCACCTTGTCGGGCAAGTCGGTTGATTAAAAAAAGTAATGAAGAAATTTGGGTAGCAAAACAGTCACTGAAAAGGAAATGGAGTGGATGCAACACACTTTGCCCCAAACCTACTCATTCTTAGCGCACAATGAATCTCTGGCGATATATGTTAACGTGCGTCACACACGGTGACATACCAGGAAGCAAATAATTACGATTTATTTTAAAGTTTTCCAGCCAACATACACCCTTTGTTGTGCGCATCACACTTTTCGCAATATCTTTTAGAACCTAACGACTAACTAACGTCGATGGCAAAGACGACCTCTTAGTAATCGATATCCCTATTCGATAGATTTCTAGTTGCTTGTAATCTTCCTATATCCTTTTTAATGCTGGGTACAGCAACACGTTGTTTTCAGACACGTGTTCTTTCGCCAGAAGAGCTCACAGTTTTAGTATGTATTCTCAACATGAAGTACACTGCTGCCAACGGTTCCACTAATCAAAGAGAAGTTCGGCACTATCAATGGCAAGATTGGCCGGATAGAGGTGTTCCGCCATGTAAGCTGACAAGTATGGTGAGGCTTTCGCTTTTCGTATAGGAAGAAGAGGGGATTTCTGACGTAAATTATAAATCATAACCTATCGAGTCTTAAGGAACTGTTATCCCGTGTTCGTGGCACCACAAAGCCAATTGTAGTGCATTGTTCGGCCGGTATAGGAAGAACAGGTACAATAGTGGCGATTGAGTATATAATGGGTAAGGACAGATTTCCACTGAGAAATCGTCATTGTAAATTTGCCTGGTACTTCTTCAAAAGGACTGATTGTCATGACGAGAAGCGCTCTATTGCAGAACGGATGCAGGCAGGACGCGAATGCGCAGCTATGAACGATCTCCTAAAGGAACTTCGTAACCAACGAGCTTACACTATCCAAAATGACTTGGTATTTATACACACTTACATATTATACCAAGCCACGAGGCATTCATAACTCTCTCTTTTCAGCAATACTTGTACATTCACCGAGTCATGTTATGTTACTTTTTGGAAAAGCACAAAAATAGGTAAGGATCGCACAGAAATCCACGTTTATTGTCTCTGTGATAGGTATTTGACATAAACCTTCCAACGGATTACGGCCTCATCGTGGCTGGGAGGTGTTCCTGGGTGTGGGGCTGCGATGTACAGCACCCTTGCTGCAGGGCCTCGCAACCCGAGAAGCAGTCCATTTCCACTAGGAAGCCTAGCTAAAAGTAAACCAATACCAGGATCCAACACCGTTCTGGTATGGAACTAGTTGCATGGTGGTCAATCTCCCTCTGATCCAAAGGGACGACGACTGCCTAGGTGGTGACGAACTTTGGCAGCCTTTGGCTAAACTGACCTCGGGCCTCCAGGGAACCACAACTTCACCAGCAAAACTTCAAAAAAATGGAAATTTTGCTGATGCCCGCACAACCAGTGAATATGGGTCATCAGTATCCAAGTATATAACGTGAAAAATGTCCAAAATGAATTATTTTGAGTCCCATATTTATCCTACTTGATACTTGATACTTGAATAGCCCGTCCTCACTGGTTGTGCGGGCCCCAGCATAATCTCCATTTTTCGGAGATTTTCTGGTTAAGCTATTATAATTCCCTGGAGTCCCGAGATCAGCCTGGTTAAAGTCTGCCCCAGGTCTTCGCCACCACAGGCAGTCGCAGCCTTTGTGTATCAGAGGGAGATTTACCACCATGCGACTTTGATACCAGAACGGCGGTGGATCCTGGTATTGGTTTACTCTTAGCTAGGCTTCCTGATGGAAACCCCGGACTTCTTCTCAGCTTGGTAGACCCTGCCATAGGATGAATCCCCCGCTGTACATTGCAGTCCAACACCCAGGAGCACCTCCCAGCCACGATGAGGCGGTAAACCGTTGGGAGGCCTATGGGAGGTCACTTGTCTATATGTATCTTGAAAAAGGAAACCATATCAGGTATGCAGCAATTCTCACAGAAGAAAACAAGGCGAAATACCAGAAGTTTGTTCAAGATTACAACGCAGCGACCGGTACATAGTTATCAAAGTGATTAACTCCATTCGAACTTCTTTACTATAATTTCTTTGTCTTCTGTAGTCGTTCTAAATAATCACCATATGCCGAAGGCGTATAGTGTTTTCCTGAATGCATTAATGGATGTCTTATCACTTATAAATAATAAATATACAACGTTTAAGTGATTTTTGTACTGATTTGACTGCAATGGTATACAGATCACATGATGATAACCACAAGTCAATGACTGTAGTAGTCAAAACCTCGAAGTAGTTAGAGGAAGAGAAGTGATATGGTTTGGTGAATTACTTGTGCTTCCTTCACATAAAAATCACAACTACTCAACTAAAAGGATACATGGAGCTTTAACGGGATATGGGTAAGGCGCTAACGATAATTAGAAAGAAGCACACACGTCGGAATAGTGCGAGACTCCTGTAGGTGTAAAGTGAATACTAGTAGAGCTACTGCGATAGATTAGATTTTTTTATACGGCATGTCTTCGCGTCTACTGTGCAAATCCCCCACATTCGATTCATTTCCTCGCAACCATCATCCGCAATGGTCTTCCAATTTTTTATGTCTGGTTTCGGTTGCTGCTTGAGGATTGTCATTTCATCTTAAATATCGTACAATGCTGATCGACTCGATCCTCCTTGAGTTTTGGGATAGCTAAGATGGAGTGCTCCCAATTGGATTGCAGAGAGCGAATTTCTCCCGGGTACACGTGTGGTACCAATTTCCTAGCACCGGAGAGATGACAGGCTTGGTGACCCTGGTGAGGGATCGAATTAGCACCGCGCTCAGGGTGATCGGCTTAACTATCGCTGTACTATCCGCCTCCTCTCGATTAACATAAGCAATATGAGAATGATAAAGAGAATGTGTTCTATGCACGGGTAGTGAAGCAATTATGGGTATATTAGTATGACGCAAAAATCTTATCGGTTTCAGCTTTAAACATATATTCATAGCCTTTCCTAAAATTTGGTGATAGAAAACATTAGAACCTAAAAACTTTTCTCAGTGAAAGTGAAGTTTTTCATTCCGTCACGGTAGGACCTGTACCATCAGCCTCCTTGCTCGTCGAATGACTCGAGCAAATGGTTGCAAATATTCATTTGTCCCTATCGTGTGCAAGTGTAGTCCGGTGGGTTCTACTCGCTATAGAAACTCGTTGAGCATCATAGCTTCCTTCTAGTGTTTTTGTGAGGAACTCTGACCATCGGATCGGAGACCCTCCTGCTGTACGTTTATCATGCCGAGGAATCCAGTCGCCAACGGCTCTTGCCCATAGGTTGTCGTTCAGATGCAATACATGTTTGGCCTACCCGATTTTTAACGCCTTTGCGTGCAAGATGGCGTCTCTGATTTTTGGTCGTTAACCTAGGTCCTCTTCTCTCCCATATCTAGTGTACGGGATACTCACTCTCGACAGCTCCCAGAACGCCGATTGAACGTTGTTTACCTACAGAACAGATTTCTGAGACGCACGTTAAAAGAAGAATAATCTGAAAGATGCGCCTATAGCTAGATTCATTTTCCACTTAATAGCATGATTTATGCTTTCCCAAGCTCCCCTGATCGTTAAGTCGTTTCTCGTGTTTGGTTCTTCACCCAGATTCACAAAGCTGTAGCATTCCAAGACATTCGTCCGGTGAATAGGTTATCAAATACAAATTCATTCCTCATGAATACCTCCGGATTTACGAGTAAAGTAACATTCAGTTGCTAGTTAAATTTCCAGTCAGCGGACTCGTAAGAGAAAACCTTTTTGTATATTTATAAATGCAGAATGGAGCTTCACCTTGGCGACGTCCCTCACATCATCTGTGTTAGATAAGCTATCGATCAATTACAAGGATTGTAGAGAAAAAGTCTCATCTGCCAAAATAAACTCTCGGAAAGGAAATGACCGCTATATAGCTCATAAAGGCCATTCGTCGAGCCTCGTTTGATTCTAATGAATGCGTTACTTGTTAAAATTTTGAGGTTTAAACATTTTAGACCGTATCTGAGTTTCATCTTTGCGCTTTAAGTAGCCTATACTCAGTTTCAAAGTGGAAAACACAATAAAAGGATATTTTGCATATCTGGAAATATTCCACGGGAAACAAATACACCCTCAAGAAAGACGCTGTTTGCGTCTTCAGTGTAGAGATAGGTTCGGTACACAATCGATGATCGAATATCCGAAGTGCCAAACAAAACTCGTTGTTGTTCCAGCATCCATACAGAATTTGAATAATAACAGAGTTACTACGAATGCAAGCTAGTTTAGAGATCAAAGTAAGGCAGAATTGCTAATATAAATAATGACATCTAAGAGAAGCATTAATGTGTGGAAACGAGACGAAGTTCTTCTCCATCATTAGAAAAGGCTTTCGATTCGGTTGAAATGAAACGTCTATAGAATGCGTAGCCATGACGTCTCAGCTTACTTTATAAGGAATCCCAGTGAACTGTTCAGATATTCCATAAGCAAAATATCGACTTTCTATAATCCTCAGCATAAGTAGTGGATATATTTACTTAAATCTTGGTGTAAGTCTTCGCTGTCGTTGCGTGTCGTTGCTGCTGTTGGTCGATGGATGACATTTCGGGGATTACGTGTTCCTCAGAGCAGTGCAGTTACGAGTAGAACTCACTCACATCACCTCAACAAGATCAGTTCATAAGAACATTTAAATTCTATAAGCAATTTCTCTCCTTTCTGTAAGAAAATTAAGATAAACGCAATGATAGGTTAGCTTACTAGCTCGCCAAGAAAGAAAGGAACGATAAATGTTCAGAAAGGTGAGACACTCCCTCACTGAAACCTTTGAGCCAGCGAAATGATAGTATTGGGTGGAGGCCGGTCACATTGGAGAGAAAAGTGGTAGACAACATCCATTGACACAATCTATGGAATTTTATCAAAACGACAACATCGTTGACCTAGGCCAATTTATTCTATTTGTCAAGATCTATGTTGAATAATGTGGATGAACAATCAGTGGATACAAAAAATTGCCCAATAGTTGAAAAATCTCTATCGTATAGTTCGAGAAGGCTTAACATTGTTAGTAGCAGAGAAAACAATTACGAGACAAACTCAAGTTGGTTGCACTCCGGAGGATTATATCAGAAGGATGCTGAGGTATGAGCGAAACCCGGAACTTTAGGTGGGCTTCGAACCCAAGACTACCCTTTGCAAGGGCTCACGTACTATCCGCTGCACCACTGAGTCTCTTGCTTTGCCCTTCTCTCAGGCAGTTTCTTATCCTACGGTGCTACCAGCAATTAGCCATCGACGGTAATGACCAGCACAAAATGGCACTGAATTCACTTAAGGTGTAGCTGCAGACGAAATCACGATGTTTTAACTAGTTAAGACATAGGCATATCAGAGTTCAAACAGACTATAACAGAAGGTCATAGTTCGTGTGTGTAAGTAGAAACCTTCAATATTACCACTACAACCTTCCGAGAACCCTATGACCATTAAAACAGTAACATATTAAGATATGGAGAAGAGAAAGGAAAACAGGTGAAACAGTGTCTAAAACTGATAACTATGATCACATCAACCACAGGTTGACATAAAATTCACAACATTCGCAAATAACTCTATTATCAACTAGGATGAGCACCCCAACTATTTAGACAGTACGCAGCCAATCAGCCACGCCTTGAAAACCACTGCTGAGTCTCACGAAAGACTCTCGAAACTGGCTGAAGGTTCGCCCAGTTGTGTTTCAACACTACGCTAAGAGATTTCCAAATAATAATATAAGAAAGAGGACCTATATCGCTTAGTGCTTAGGGGTTCCCTGCACTATACCCATAGTCGTTGGCTTCTCGGCTCTCGGCCTGACCTGGTCCGCTACCGGCCTAGCCTGGAGGGTGAAAATACTGACTTGATACATAGGTAGGCACCACTTAGTCATTTTATTGGACATATTTACATCCATTCATGACGATTACGACTCTGACGATGAAGTCGAATACACGGCGCATCGTTCAGGGATTGATCAACGATGGAAACCTCATCTTTTTGCTTCTAATGTAGCAAGTCCACAGGTATCTTTCATATGATGGATCCTAGGACGATTAAGCACATATCTCGGCTGGGTGTGAGTCAAGCGCATATCTACCAGCATGCCTACACAAAGACTGAATTCCGGCCATATGCTAGCTGTTTCTGCTTCATCAAGGTGACTTATACATTCTGTTTGCAGCTAGTCATTGCATGCATTTGTGAGTGTCCTTATGCATATTCTGCAGGACGTTCCGGCAAAAGGCGGTAATCATATACTGGGAACTAATCGTCCTGGGATCCAGGAAGTGATCCAATGTTGACTACGACAAGCATGCGGCACATTGATTACGAGCTTTTGGCCTATAAAGTATGCTTAGACTCCACGGTAGAGTTCGATTAACTGTCTGTGAATATCCTCTCACCAGGAATGGAGGCAAAGCGCCTCATGCGGTGTATTATGCCGTTCATATTCCTCGGAGAAGCGGAACTAGCGGAACTCACTATGCTCCGGAGCGCGATAGGGACGAATGGAAGGTCTTGCCGGTTCCATCTCAAACCACTTCATGAGGAACACTGTTGCATAATACATAGATGGTGCTCATGATCTGAGAAAGACCTGTTGCATTAACACATAATGCTCAGCGCGCATTGATTTCAATGCGCGAGGAGCCAAATTGGATGAAATAGACTGACCGCGATATAACTTCTTTAAAAAGGTTTATTTGCCGTACGAAATTCTTTTATTGCATTTCTGGTATTTAGTCAAGAACTTAACTACCACAGGCTGAGTAAATATCTGGGTAATTGGATGGCCCGCATTCACTAGTTGTGCGCACCTCGGCAGCATAATTTCCATTTTTTCGGAGGTTTGCAGCTTTAGCCGTTGTGGCTCCCTGGAGTTCCGAGGTGAGCCTAGCTAAAGTCTGCCTCAGGTCGTCACCACCACAGGCAGTCGCCGCCCTTGTGGATCAGAGGGAGATTTCCCACCATGCGATATCAGGACGGTGGTGGATCCTGGTATTGGTTTACTCTTAGCTGGGCTTCCTGATGGAAACGGCGGTCTCCTTCCTAGCTTGGAAGGCCCTACTGGCTGGATGAATACCCCCGCTGTAGATCGCAGTCTGAAACACACCAACACCTCTAGCCACGACGAGGTGGTAAACCGTTGAGAGGAACTGAGTAAACACTTAATAAAAACTTGATGCTTTATAAAAGCTGTTAATTGGACGAGTTTATTTCGCAGTAAGAGCTTGCATCTAGTGAAAAATGTCCATTGCAGCGACTGTTGCGATGATGACAGAACCTCTCCTGTACATAGACACTAAAATTCAACTTTTAGGGACATCTGCTCTCAACGATAAAGTGGTACATCGTTGCGGAGACTTGTTCGCAGTGGATTGGTATTCACTGAATATAAGTTCATCAATATGTTTCCATACTGTAGTCTTTAGAAGGAGTTATTAAAAAGAGAAAAGTGTAAGAGAAAAAAAAGAGGGGAAAAAGAAAGAGGGCGAAAGACGGAAGAGAAGGAGATTATAAGAAAGAGATTCCAAAGACTCGACTTGATGTGATGACAAAGACGTGACAACGAGAGGACGAACGACTGTGGATATCTGCTCGGACCATCGGTTATGATGAAGATGAAGACGTCAGGCGAATGAAAATTGTATAACAACCTCGTGTAAGCTCGACAATGAAAGAATAAAAGGATAAAAAGGATAAAGCTCTCGGCGTTGATCAATCCTTGCGGGATGCACCATGCACCCAACTTCATTAAGCGTCGTTGGAGGTCATTGAATGCATATCTGGCCTTTACAATGACTTGCGGTGGCTTACCGATGTGTCGAGTCAGTGCTGCTATCCTTCCAGACAAGTCTGGTACCAATCTGCCGACCCCGAAGGTATGGGAAGCATGGTGAGCCTGGGACGTGGGGATCGATCCCGTACGTACTGCAGGGCACCTCCGACCACTGCGCTACGCGCACCTCTAGTTTAAGAATACGTACTAATTTTCTAGACTTTACGCTCGAAAACGTCTACTTTACTACCTGTAACTTACAGTTTATACCGACCTAAAATTAACATATCCTTAATAGGAGGCAACGTTTCTGTAGAAAATTTGCAGAACTTTTTCCCACCTACAGTATAGCTTAATTTCTTCTTTTCGTTCGTGATTTATCCTTAGGGCATCTAATGAAAGGCAAATTCACTAAGGAGCAGATTGATCGGTTTGGATCAGTTCTAAACGACACAAAGTGCTCTTTCCATAAGTTTTTTTTTGAAGCCCTCTTTTTTCGCTTGGTTCTTAGTCGGTGCATTAACGTTTTTCAGAGTACCGTTGAAAGCTCGGTTTCGAGCGTTGTTTATCCTTCGGAATATCGGTTGTGACTTGTCAGTGAAGTGGATTTCTAAGTGCTTGCATGACGACTCGGCTTTGTTGAAGCATGAGCTTGCGTATTGCCTTGGTCAGATGCAAAATAAGACTGCCGTTCCCATTCTTATAGATGTTTTGAAGGATCACGATCAAGGTATTGAACTTTTGACATGCTTCTTCAAGATTATCTATTATTCCGGAACATTTTAGAGCCCATTGTTCGTCATGAAGCTGCAGAAGCTCTCGGTGCAATCGGAGACATGTCAGCTGAGAATGTTCTGACGGAATTCAGGAAGGTAGTTTTATTGTCATCGAAGCATCATTGGTCGCCTTTTGTTATTTGATTTATTACCCAAGTTTTTAGCTCCAATTTCATCGCTTACTTGATCATCAGAGTTTTGGTTGCAGGATCCATGCCAAGAAGTAGCTGAAACATGTGAACTAGCATTGCGCAGACTATATTGGATCAGGAAAACTGGCGATAGAACTGAAAGTCCATACCAGAGCATTGGTAGAGAAGCCGTTGCTTTTTTCGTGTTTGCTTGTTAATACATTAATGCTAAAATGCTTGCAAAACTACGGAGCGTAAGTGTCCACAGTGGGGATCGGACTTGCTGTCACCCTTTCCGGGGGGTAACGCGTTCACCACCACACCATACGGCCCTTCGTTTCGATTTTCTGTCAGCCGTGTTTTTAATCCTTGGTGCTATCAGCAATCACCCGTTAGTGGGAATTATCTAGGGACCAATATTCGGCATTGAAGCCAGTTAAGCTGAAGCTGTAGTATAGACAGTAAATAAAATGCAACTACATTCGTTTTGCTTGCTTTACAGTTTCGTTCCAGACCCAACTCCGACGGCATCTATGGATGACGTTGCTGAACTTTGGAATACTCTCGTAGATATTTCAAAATCCCTTTGGGATCGTTATTGCGCCATGTTTAAGCTACGAAATATCAACACCGATGCCTCCATCAAAGCTTTAGCACAAGGTGAGAAATATATGACGTCCATGATACGTTTAGGTTGTCAGTTTTCCGGTAACACACCATATCGTCCAGGTCTTTATTGTGAGGACAGCGCTTTGTTTCGACATGAAATAGCCTACGTGTTGGGTCAAATACAATCTCCTCTCGTTATAAAGGAGCTAAAGGACCGCCTTTGTCTTTCTTCTGAGGTTAGAGTGTGCCTAGGTTTAGATGCTGAGTAAAAGCCCTTTTTAGGGTGGTTGAATAGGCAATGAGTTACGATATAAAAATGGGGCAGATATTTTTCACAATTGTTGAGTTTAGAATTGTATGGTTCGTCATGAATGTGCTGAAGCGCTTGGAACTATAGCGACTGACGAGTGCATTTCAATACTGCAGAAATACATCAATGATTCTGAGGTTACTGTCATATTTAGAAAACCTTTTTCAGTTATTAAACTAAGTATTAAAATATTCTTACCAATTGCTTTAACACTTTCTTTAACATTTGTTTTGACAACTTAGTCATTTCAGTAAAAGATTTCATTCCTTAGTAATTCAAAGGACCGACTTTCTATAAACCTCGGCATAAACGGTCGATAGATCTATTTATTCTTATGAAATGAATTTGTTAAACCGGTGTGGGGTTGCTGTAAGTTGTCATCGTTGTCGTCGTTGTTGTCGTAGTTTCTGTTGGTCGATGGCTGACGTTTCGGCGATTTCGCCTTTCTCAGGGCCTGGACTTTAACCTTACACTTCGATGAAAAATCTATAGTATTATTGAAAATGTGACATATAAATAAATGCTATATGGTTCAAAAAACTGCTGACCGTGCTGTTACGAAGGGACTACCCGTGTTGTTCACATGGGATGACGAGTGAGACCTAGTTCGATCAAAAAATCAAATCAAAAGTTGGTAAGAATATATGAATAAATATATCGGCTACTTATGCCAATATGCCAAGTTTGTAGGAAGTCGTTGTTTTGGGTGATTAAGTGTCAAAGATTTCTGTCAGGTGTTTAGTTTTCTCTTGTTTGAGCTTGACATTTCAGCGAGTAGTACGTGAGAGCTGCGAGGTTGCGCTGGACATGGCCGATTACGAGAACGCTGGTGAATTCAACTACGCTGTTGTAGAGGCATGAATGGTTGTTACTATTGGTTGTGCCCTTCGTTCCTTTGATGATATCGTTGTCCAGATGTTAGGGTTTTCCATACTGTTCCTTGTTTTTTGGTCCTGAAGTAAATAATTGTAAAGTACTGGATGAGTCGTCTGTTCCGAAGGTTGTGCAAACACCTGTAGAGTTCTCACGTTTTTAAATGATTCCATGGAAAAGACAAATTGGAGCTTTCCGTCAGGTACGAAGGGTAACTAATGAGCAATTTGTTACTACGGCCAATTTTATCTCGCCTTGCTGGTTACACATGTGAGTTTTTGTCAGTTTCTCCACCTAAAACTATTTTTATTGTGATTGTTTAGGTAAAGTTAGGGGAAATCGATCTTATATGGTACGATGTTCATCTCCTGTAGGTCATTTCTTTCAACTTTTTTTTAGTTCCTTGTCTTAGTTTTGCATCTTTATTCTTGTGTTTTATCCCTTTTTCCCTTCTTAGCCTTCAATAAGTTACTGGTATAAGCTGGTATAGGAATTAGCCCCCATACGGACTGAGTTGCGTTTCAAAAAACAGCTGTTTGTTGCGGTTGTCATAGTCTCACTTTTTGATACATACGACTAGCTCACTAGTTTTTCCTCACTTCTTTACTTTATTTCTTGAAGTTTTGGTTGCTTGGCAATGGGTATTATTAGGTAATACTGGGTAGACGTTGAAACTGCCTAATACTCCATGCCATATTGAAATTGTAAGTTAAATAACCACTGACTAACTGCAGTCTTGGTAGTGTAAATCTATACTTTAATGCTCATCAAGTTAAAGGTATTGTAGATGATGTAATTTTAGATAGGCTGTGATTTTAGACTGAATTTTCTGCTTCTGATATTGGTCGTCTGTACGAGATACCACAAGAAGCAGTTGAAGCCTTAGTGTATGAAAAGTTTCTACCTTCGAAACTGATTAAACAGAACGACGTTCTGGGCGAGCTAGTTACCATGGTCAGAGAACCATTAATAGAGGTTAGCATAGATATATTTTCATTATTTATCTGTTTATTTTTATTACATAGCCCGACATCACATGTATTACACTGTACGGATTCCGGCACTTCTCACATTCGATTCGTGTACTCACATTCACCATCGACAAAAGTCTTTGAGATCTTTCTGCGTATGAGTTCGGTTGCTGCTTGAGGATTTCTCGTTTGTCACTAATCTCACTAAGTGCTGGTTGATTCGATTCTCCTTCGGTCTTGAAATAGCCATGCTGGGGCGTCCGCTCGTGGATTAGAAGTGATTTTTTTTTCCAAACAAGTTTTGCCAATTTCCTGATCGCAAAGGATGAGAGGTCTGATGGCTCTTGGACGGTGTTGGACCAGCGCTTGGGTAGGTGGACTGATCACGTAATGAACGGGATCACTGCAACTCCGCTACCTGCTTTTTTAGTTCTCATAATTACACTTTCTATGTGTGTGTCGTAATTTTCATCTGTTACAACAGTAAAATAATTTCGAACAGAACATTTCATAGGGACACCTCTATAAGAAATTCTTGACTTTAAAATGAAACAGTTCATAGGCTTAGAGGAAACTTTGCTTTTTTAAAAATTCCCTTTTCTTTAAATCCTTTCTCCATTTGTTTCTCTCTTCTACCTCCATCATTCAGTGGGACACATAGATTTTTAGCAGTTTTTTCTGCACCACGATTTTTTTTTACCGTCAAAGAAATTAAGCGACGACCAACTCATCAACCTATGTTTCTAGTGATATATTCCGAATGCGTTATTTTATTGACAGACATTCCAATTTTTTGTTTTCATTATCTTGCCTGTCTTTCCGAGAACATCACAGGGAAATCGAAATTTTATGGTTACATACCTTCTTCCCCGTAAGTTAGGAGGGCAACATTTTTTACGGATCCCATACGCGAAGACTTGTTTCATGTACGCCGTACTATATTTTCTTCAAGCAGTATGTACATGCCTGAAGCTATGCATATGATGATAAACGTGACCAACGTGTCGGTCATTGTTATGATAGCATAACACAGGGCTTGAAGAACCGTCAGCAGTTTAACACAATGCTGTGGTTTCGATATTTGACGATTGGCTTTAGGCTGGTCTGAAGTGATTTATGGTCCTCATATGGCTTGCTCTTTATCATAATATCAAAGATTCGTATAGAACGTTTTCAGTGACGTGGTTCTCCTATTGCCACTCATTTTCCACAGCGGACGTGGTTTATGCATTTAAGTGCCTTTTTATTACCAGCGAAAGCTATATAAGTGATATACTCACATAGTTGTTTCGACAGTAGAAAAAGTTAAACTGTTTGACAAATCCAGCCTGTTCTGTTGTTCCCAGGCTTCAGGTGATGTTGGGTGACTTGCGGTGTGTAATGACCTGTGATGTACCAAAAAGTCATTTCTTTGACAAAAGAACGATGTACGAACTTGACTAATATCGTTGTAAAGTTTTTTTTTCTGAGGTAGTGGAGTAGTTTAGAACAATTGTTATCGAAAAGAAGAGCATCGTTTGTAAACGTTTTCGGTAACATCTGTCCTTTCTGTTCGTTGCAAGTTTTGGAAAAGGAAGAAAGTAACTTCGAAGTTATGTTACTTATTTCATTATTCTCGATGTTGGCAGTCGCTTCAAAATAGATCGTGTTTAGATCGCTTATATAAGTTTTTCCTCATTGATAATGTTTTTTCATCATGATTCAGGTGGTTTCCGATAAGTAGATGGATAACCACAATAATGCTGAGGCATTTGCGAAACATATACGCTAGGCCAGATCGAACCGCAATTACCCTTTCCGGGGCCACATGTTACCCACTGTACCGCCGAGGCCCTTGCTTTGCTTTTTCTCAGTCAGTTTTTTACCCTAACAATGCTATGCGCTATCATCTGTCAACGGGAATCATCTGGGTAGTACAAATTGGCATTTGATCCAATTGTGCTGCACTGTTAGGGTAGAAAACTGGCTTAGAAAAAGGCAAAGCAATGGCCTCGATGGTGGAGTAACACGTGAGAGCTGCGAAAAGGTAATCGAGAGTTCCAATCTGGCCTGATGTTCCGAGTTTTGCAAATATCTCAGGATCATTGTCATTGTATTTCATATAATACCTTCCCATGAAAAATTGATGGGCAGTAGATGAAAAGTCAAACATAATAAAAAAAAAATAATAGGATGAACCATCAGGACGCATAAAATTCAGCCAAGAGAAACGAAACGAAAACTGGCTTCCGTCGTTGAGCATCCAAATTAACCTATCAACAAATGACTGCATCACAAAATGATGTCGAAAGCCGACTAACGAAAACAGATTCCTGAGATTGGTTTTGGTAAGGACCTGGGAACGCTGTGTCGTGGTTATTTCATGATTCCAGGCAGAGTCGTTTGAACTAGCATTCAACGACCTTCATGAAGAAAGAAAAGCTCTCTGATAGCACTCGAATCAACAGGTAAATCCGGAAGTCATCGTTGACGACTGTTTTGAAAGACGTAAACGACAACGTGCTGGAATCTGCGCGGTCTGGGATAGCAGGTCATGTAGATAAATAACACAATCCAAGAACTAAATTGATAGTCCCGTGTTAGTGGGGCTCCATACCCATATGTCTTTTTGAAGTAACAAACATCTCATTATTATTTCCCATTCCTACTTCCCCTGCACTTCTGAGGTCAAGGACGTTCTGATATTGTCGTAACGAGATTTTCCTGAAAGAAACTGATGAGATGAAGAAGAAGCCTTAAAATTTGTGGTCAGGTCTTTGACACCTCTAGAGAAGAGGGTTTTGGCGCTGTAGGTTATCAGGTAATTGTTTCGTTATGACGACAACCTTCTTGTCAGTTAATTATTGTCTTTCCTTAATTGTTTCGTTTTACAGCATTGGATACCTATGCGTACCTCTTCGGACGTTATAGTAGAACTCGGTATTAATGTCACTAATGACCACTATGATAAGGCGTTATGGCTGACCACTTTTCCATACTCGGGGCAGAATCGGTATTTAGATCACAATGCTAGCAGTATTGTGTTGCTGGGATGATTATAGTAGGCAGTAAATAAAAAGGCTAACATTGTGATTTCGACTAAAGCAGCCTAAGTGGGTTCAATGCCGATTTGTGCTCCTCAGATCATTCCCGTTGGCGAGTGATCGCTTTTGGCACCGTTAGATCGAAAACTGGCTGAGGTGGAGGCAAAGCAAGAGCGGGCCGCAGTGGTGCGGTGGATTGCACGTGAGTCCTCGGAAAGGGTAATCGCGGGTTGGAAGCTCACCTGGGTTTCTGAGTTTTGCAAATACCTCTGCAACATTATGGTCGTATTCCACAACATATCGTGCCGTAAAGAGTTATGCGAAGCAATGAATAAAAAAGTTAACTGGCCGTATTCCCACAACAAATTACAATTCCTAAGCAGTGAGACCACACGTATGCTGTTCGCATACGACAACAATTAATCTGAGGTACGACTACAGTGAGTCGTTCGTTCTTCCGATTCATCCTTGGATTTCTGGAATTTATCCAAAGTTCCTCAGGAGTTTTGCGACTTGAGATCTTCAATTTCGGTATTGTTAATGCGTTATCGAAATGACCACCGTTGTGGTTTTATTTAGTTTGCTGTGTTGAAAGTGAGTCAGACGGTGCTCATCCACAGACGTTTAGAATGAAGCAATTATATACTGGGTGTTATGGCGGGACAAAGAGTTGCGAAAACTTTCGGAACTGTCCTGTCCAGTTTCTTAATGGAAGGGGAATTTTAAACCGTGTAGTTTCAAACACCAATAATAAGGTTGAAGTGTTTTAAAGTCTACTCGTAACATCGACATCGAACAACCGGTGAACGTTTTAATTCCGCTATCATAATAGCCCATAAAAAGAAGTGCTGATCAGCATTGAGCTAAGGTTAAAGTCATTCAAGTCTCGCTTTACCTCGTCGAATAGGTCGCCGATGCTTAGTTGAGTAAAGCAAAATGTCTTACATTAATACCTGTTAGAGGATAAAATAATAAGCAGTTAGCGCTAAATCTTCATGCATAAAATCTTCAAAGATCAATTATAGTAATCATGATGTCGGTAAACTGTTTTAACAGAACATAGGTGTAGCATCTATGAGTGCAATTTTTCAGGTTTCTTCATATATGTCTTTGATTCGGCATTCGTTTCCAGCTCTTCGTCTAGTTTTATGGGGTCCTTTTGGAACAGGAAAATCAGTAACGTTGAACCAGGCTGTTCATATTGCTTACTGTGAAAAAATGGTTATAGTGCAACTGCGTAATGGTAAGAACTCCAACAATTCTCTTGACCGTTTGTTAAGGTCACTTTTTACTATTTATTTACCTGCCTATCTATTTATCCTCTGCCTATCTTTCTCTATCTTTCTTTTTCTCCAGTAGGAACTGAAGTGTTATAGCGATGGATCTCACACGAAAAGTAGCAGAAGTCGAGATGTCAACGTTCAAACAGGGGAGAATTAATGACCCTAAAAACGCCGTAACCATACTCCAACACTTTAAAGAACAGGTAGTTTTAGGTTTCTGGATTCTTTGATCCAAGGTATTTTTCCTTCTTCTTTCCTTCTTTCTGTTTAGTTCGTTTCATCTTAGGAAGGAAAATTGTAGAATCAGCATCTATGGAAAAAGTTGAATGCGTTGAAAACTGATCGAGACTACGAGTTTACGAAAAGTGAACGTATTCAAACTGGTAGACCAATCACAGATATAGTCGAAATAGTAAGTTTGTCCTTTTACCGTATTACGTTGGAAATTTGCTTCATTGTTAAAATCGTCGTGAAGGAGTGTTACCATCTGATTTACCAACGTCTTGGTGTTAGTTTGGTGTTGTTGAATCCACTTAAAGTCAAATACGTTTTAATTTTTCAGTGTTTTTCAGTGTTACATGAAATTTAACAGTTCTGTACATCCTATATCTTTAAGGGCATATCAGCTCCTTTTCTTGCGAGTGACTGCGTTGGTGGGCTGTTTCGAGAATTGAAACGGCACTCATCTTCTGGAGGTTTTAAGGTGTTTATTTTTTTCTATTCGCTAAAACGAGTTGGTAAAGATTTTGTGTTTTTTCTATAGATTTTTTCGTTTCTTCGCTTTCCAAAATCTAAAATTCTAGCTGTTTGTCGCTGTAGATCTTGCCAACTCTCTTTGGGGTAGAACATTGGTTAAAAAAGCCGACAGAACTTATGTGAGTGGTTTTACTAAGGAGTAGAGTAAACGCGAGCGTGAATACTTTCTTTCACAATAACAATAACTTTGAATTCAGGCTTCTGCTTCCGATTTGACACTCGTACAACACTTCAGAGATTTAATCTCTTCAGATTGGGTAGTAATGTCCCTTTTTTCTAGAGGAAACTCCGTTTTTCTATTGGTTTTTTTTGAAAATATACTTCTCAGAAGAATGGATGTGTTTTACTGGTTGCTGATAAGAGCGAACTTGCAAATGCTCGAGATTCTATCACGGTAACGAGACACACTCCATTGGAGTTGTTCGGAGAAGGGGGATTCCATTCTATCGAGGTCTCCTCGCAATTTTCCATATCTATTTCCTGTATGCCCAGTGACCGAATTTTTTTCCAGCCATTCATACCTATTGAGACGAAGCAATATACAAAGGAAGAAATTAGCAACATGTATCGTTATTACTATGACAAAAGGTGGCTCGTAAGCGACAAAGGTACTTTCTTTTTTGGAAATAGAATACTTAGAGATTTAATTAGTTAACAGAGAGTTATACTTAAAGAGTTGAGGAGTTTTTTTTTCAAAAGAGTACTCATCGTTTTCCACGCTAGACTATTCGTGGCTCAGTTTGTGGCCGCAGTTCAACCTCAAACCGGTTTAGTTTAACCTTTGTATAAACAACACAAGAATAACAGTATGGCCAAATGGACCAATTTAATTTTACACAAGGATAAGAATAGTTTTAATGGGTAGAGATTAGAAAAGCATCTGCGTAAAATACGACAATAGTTAATATTACCTATGTGAATGGAGAGCTCAGTATTTGAATTTTCCTGTATGAAGTAGGAATCCTAGGAAAGCTGAATACTGTAGAAACAATTCTTGCTGAATGGAAAAATGACTACTGTTTCCATTCTTCCTGCAACCGACAGACTTAACGCTGTGAAGCTTCGAGGAAAGTACATCAAGCAAAAACAGTTTTTACAAAACAACTAACTCAATGCTATTACGGTAGATGTGAAAAAGTGGATAGGTCAGGATGGGAAGTTTAAAGAAAAGAAAGCTGAACAGCTCTATGTAATTGGGTGAGTCATGCGGGTTCGAGCATCTACTCGTCTCATCAATTCGTTGACAGAAAAGCTGACAATTCGGTGGAATTCACCTCCTTAGGAACCTGAAGAAAGTTAAGGTGACTGCAATCTACCCAACCAAAGACCTCCATAGCCAAACAGAGGAAGTATAAAACCAAGATTTCAATCGCATTTAAGATAAAACGGCGTCTTCGCATACTCGCCGCTTTCTATGAGTCTTTAATTGAGTATTTCACGTTGAGGCCAACCGCACAGAGTTCAGATGGATGCGTAATGTGCCTCTCTCATATTAAAATATCAGTCTTAAGTATTGCTGTGATCACGAGTGATAGGGAGGCATTCTTCTCTGTTGTTCATTTCCGGATTCCTGGAAATTATCCAGAATGCTTCAAGAGTTCTGCGCACTGATGTTTTCGATTCCTGTGCGCGGATGGTAAGTTCTACTTAAAATCTTACCCGTTATGTCTCTCCGTCCTGCAAAGTTGAGTATCTCGTAACTTCAAGTTTGTCGACTAGATGTTCTTTTATACGAACGCGGAGTGGTCTGCACATTTCGCCAATGTATTCGCCTCCACATTTTTTACGAGAGATGGAATAAGTCGTAACCGAACTCATGAAGTAACCATCTCTACCGTTAGAGCAAGCCATGGCCGCGGGGATCGGCTCCACGTGTGTGTTGCAGTGGCGCCTCCAACCACTGCTCCACACGCACCACTTGGGAAAATAGATAGAAAAATTGATTTTCGAGCAAACATCACGCTTTCGACGGCGCTTATGGAGCCATCAGTCTACTGCTAAGATAGAAATTGATAGTGAGAAGTGTACCAAAATCCAATGTTTTATCCGTGTAGCCATCCCATCTGTGGAACGAAATGCATCTGCATATGTTTTTATGGAGAGTTCAACATGATAAACGAGGTTTGAGAAGCTTAAATGACAATATTGTGCTGAAAACTATAGTAAAGTGTAGTATTTAAAAACTATAATAGCAAAACAAGGACAGTGACACTGAAGCACCACACGCTTTTTTCAACTCATGAAAACTTTATTCACGGAACAGGTCGTCTTCAATTAATAACGCGGCCGTGATCTTCGACTCGCTTGAGGTCATAAGAACCCATTTTCGAAATCACCAAACTGAACAGTGGCTGATTCAAACTTTATCCTTCGGTCAGTCATGTTCTGCTGACGGCATGCGATCTATATTTTCATTGATTTAGTCCTCATATTTTGAAGCGATAATAACAAGATGTTTGAATTTAGTCACATCACACCAATTCATTAGCTCAGTGAATTCAAAAATGGGACCCAGAAAGTGTGACACTTCTTTATGAGAGTGGTCAGCTTTCTGAGCCTTTTCCTTCATTTTACAATTCCCTTCCTAGTTTCTGCCAGATTTTAAGTATGCGAATAACACGAAAGTGGAAATAAGCGCGAGTTAAAGAAATCAGCAACCCATCGTTAATCTCGAAATAAAAACTGAATTATTCAGTAACCCTATTTTCTCTTGACTTCGTCAGAATATCCAACAGAAATCCTGAAGTTTTATTAAGATGAAAATGGGGTTATATCTAAAATCAAGTGTTAGAGTAAGAAACGTTTGAATTGATCCATGTATCGAATTTGTGTATCGGAGTGAGATTTATCATTCTGGCTTAAAGTCTCAACGTACAGTATCAGAATGTCAGTTTATTAAAACAAAGGTGTTTCAGTGGGAAGTTTCAAACATTCGATTGAGTGTGGGTTATATAACAAGCTGGTTTTCGAATGCATGGAAATATATACTGGAACAGGATTTTAGAGTATTAAATTGGGTTAGTGTATTTTATTGCATCTAGTAATATTTCGTTTCAGCTCGAACCGAAGATGGCAAACTTCAGATGATGTATCTGAGTGCTTTCAATCCTTTTGAATTCGAGAGGTTATGCGCCTTCAATTAGTGGAATTGTTGTGTTGTTTTCTGCAATAAAAAAAATCAGAGTTTAGTTTTGGAAACCAACTTTCATTTAACCTCGGCATGGGTAATCGGTAATTTCTTCTTACCCAGAAGCTTAAACAAGGCTGTTTTGGAGTTTTAAGGGTATAACCAGCTATGATAAAGGTAAAACTGTACAGATATAAGATTAAAGATATCAATGATAGTTTAAGATATAAAGGATTTAGGGATATTAATGGTGTATCCAACTACAACTTCAACTTAAAAGTTTTAGGTCCTCTAAGCTCAAAACTTCTGATCTGAGCACATCTAATCGTTTTGATTCTGATGATAGCTGGCGATTGGTAGTCAGTATTTGGCCTATTATTGTGGTAGCAGTGAAGCTGCTGTAAACAACTTGCCAACCCAAATGCCATACTCTCTACGAGTCCTGTCTGTTACGACTTGTCTGTAGAATAGACGTAGTGGTTACTGGTCAAATCGCGGATTACCATATGTATTGGGTTTCGCGGAAGAGATCCTAGTGTCTGTTTTTGTTTTGCGATTATGTGCAATTATCATTTTTATATTTCTAGAAACTTTGCACATATGTGTATATTTTCTCTGCATAGATGGTTTTTGGAGCTAAGCAAGTTTCTCATAGTGAACGAAAGCTTCCCGTTATTGAATTGGCGAGAAGTCGATGTATAACTTCAGAATAACTTTTCCCTAGTCTGTTCTACGTGTTCCTGTTTGGAAACAGGACAAGCGCGGGATGGTGATCAAAATCAATCTGGTTGCTCATTTTCCTCGATATATCAAGCTCCGACGATCCTCCCTATATGAGAGATCTCGAGACGGGTGGCATACGGGTCATTATTTCCTCATGTGGTGCTACGCGACGTCGTGTCGGCTCCGTGAAGGTCCATAAGATGTTACTGCATAGGAGGTGGCGAGGTCGGGTAGTGTACGTATTTTTCACGTCCCTAGGTGGAGAGTTGGTGGCTTAGAGTAAAACCAGACCAATAGAGGCCGTGCTTTAGGGCGCACCGTTTATTTGATAGACGGATCTGTTGAACGTTAGATGTCTATTTGTCCGGGAACTTTTAATCAAACAACGCGAATAAAATACGGAAGATATTGTGATTGCAAAGAACAAATAAGTGGGCAGGACTCACAGGGAGATTGATGCTTTCGTTTAGCTTGAGTGGACGAAATACACCGATCAGCGCTGGCATGCGACGAGGCACTAGATGTCTATAATGCACTAGATGTTGAGATTAATGGCATTTTTCAAGCTCCTGTTAGCAGTAGTGCTAGTTTTACTGGTGTTGTACTCATTACTATTCACTATATATATATGTATATATACGTATTTATTGATATTATCTAGTTATTATCACTGTGATCATTGTCATCACTCTGGACATCTTGTGAAGACGTTGATTTTTCGAGAAGTTGGAACTTACAGAAAGCCAGACTTAAAAATCGCAGCGCAAATGCGGCAGGCGCCGACGTGCGTTGGAGGCCATTCGTCGCTTTCGATTTGACGAAATCGCGTGTTTTCAAACGCTTCGCTGCTCTTAAAGCGAACGTTGAAGAAATTGAAAAGAGAAGAACAATCTCCGTGAGGTTCAAATGGTCAGAGTTTTACCGAGGTAAATAGAGCACACAGGAAAAAGACTTGTTCGATGTCGGCAAAAAGTTATAGACTGTACTAATTTTCAATAATCTTCTCCATGACTGCGGTCAGACGAGGTTGGCACAGAAACTTTTATTCAGCTAACAGTTCGACGCGTTCGATAGCAAGTGAGCTAGTTCCTGAGAAGGTTTGTCGCCAGTTAGAAGCTCACCTGGGGTTCCAAGTTTTATTCAGGCCTCACCATCGTTATAGTGTTAAATATTCAACAAATATTGCTGCAAGACCACAGTGTCTCATTAGCTTTCAGACTGTGCTACCGGTGACGGAAGTCTGGAAAATGGTAATCCCTTTGCAGCAACGCGTGCTACTAGTGTTTCATTCATTATAAAGCTCGAATGGCAATAGGTAATGTGTGAAGAGCGGAGAAAGCGTTATTGATAAAGATCGGCACTACCTTAAGATAATGCGTTTTAATCCCGTTGGGACGAGTTCTAGTACGGTTCTGTTACCATGTCCAGCAATTGATGCTATGCCATGTCCGGCTTCAGGAGAATGACGTCCAACACCGTAATAACATGGGAGCGGCTGCATTTGAAGTCATGATTTATTTGCATCGTTGCCATTCTGGAATTAGTACCTGTTCCGTCTGAGCGTCGGGGTTCGATCACCTTAGTCTAATAATTGGCAAACTTTCAGCGGCGCTGCAGATACTCTTTGCAGCCTCTAAAGTTTAAAGTATCACTGCTGCCCTTCCCTCATTTGAATCTTCTTTTGTGACCTTCATCCAGTACTTTCGAAGTTAGGCTATGAGATAGTGGTTATCTACAACTTGTGGAATACTATGTTGATGTGTCAACTCGGGTGTTTCTGGCGAAAAACGCTTCTTAATGACTTT